CAGGCTTTTGGTGTCTTGGGAAAAGAATTGAGCAAAACGCACGTGAGTAATGAGAGAAGGAAGGTTTAAGAAAGAAGAAGTAACTAAAGAATAGAGTGGATTATTCTCCACAAAAAAAAATCAGGCCTGAGTGAGACAGCTCAAAAGCCCCAAGCAATGGTATTTGAGACAAATTAAGATTGGTTTAGATCAGGTGCTGGTGGCTCATGCCTGTAATCCTAGCTATGCAGGAGGCTGAAATCTGAGGGTCTGGGCTCAAAGCCAGCTAGGGCAAGATAGTCCACAAGACTTATATCTCCAGTTAACCACCAGAAAACCAGAAGTGGAATCGTGGCTCAAAGTGATAGAGTGCTAGCCTTGAGCAAAAGAGCTCAGGGACAGTTAACAGGCTGTGAGTTCAAACCTGACAATAGACTAAAAGAAAAAACAAAGAAGAAAAAAAAGTTTAAGTGTGAAGGGTCCTTCCCACAGGGGAGAACCTCCGTGATGGGCAGGTTTCAGTGGCAGGTGGCGGTTACATAGCAGCTTTGTAACTGTTTACATCCCTTTTTACAATGAATTTTGTTGTAATGATATTAATTATATGAAATGTATAAGCCCAAGGCCTCAGTTAGGAGGTCTCTCCCCAAAGTATAAAGAAGAGCCCAGGACAGTACCAGTCTCATCACAGGAAATTTCATTTTGCTGTGCAAGCATCCTTGTTATCAAGATGTGGTCTCGTGTGTCTGGTCCACAAGACATTCTATCAGCACTTTTTTGATAGTCATGAGGCAACAAGTTAGAAGGGGTATTGGAGTATTTCTCAGGCAAAGGCAGATAGAGGAGTCAGTTTTACAAGTGGCTATGGCAGCCACGGACCCTCTTTTCTCTGTCTGCGTTGGTTTGAAATAAGGAAACTGGGTCGAATGGGTGCCATCTTGGCCACGTGGTAGATGATAGGGAATAATTGGGTTTAACTGGTGCCATCTTGTCTTCATAGTAGAGGCAGGGAAGTTCCAGCCCCAGGTGATGGATGTACCTGAATTCCCAGAGCCAGAGGCAGGGACTTGGATAAGAGGTTACTGGACCTGTCAGTCCTGTGCTTCCAACCCTGCCCCCTGCCCCTGATGCTATCCAGGCCTGGACCAGTTCAGGCACCATGATGCCATGCCTCACATCTCTTGTCTCCTGGCTCACCTTGAATCACCATGGCGTCCCACTTCAGCTCTCCCTTGGAGTTTATCTGGTTTGTTGGTATTGCTTTTCTGCTCTTTCTTTCCTCTCCTGCTCTCATGGCTGTTTTCTGACCGTGTGAAGTGTATTCGAGGGGCTGCAGGTCTTTTTTTTTTTTTTCTGTCTGTCATGGGGCTTGAACTCTGGGCTTGGGCGCTGTCTCTGCACTCTTCAGTTCAAGGCAAGCGCCCTGGCATTTGAGCCACAGTGCTACTTCTGGTTTTCTAGTGGTTTATTGGAGATCAGAGTCTCATGGACTTTCCTGCCCGGGCTGGCTTTGAGCCGTGATCCTCAGATCTCAGCCTTCTAAGTAGTTAGGGTTACAGGTGTGAGCCACCCACGTCCAGCCGGCTGCAGGTCTTTGAGACAAGTGTCCATCTGTGGTCACCAACTCTCCAATAAAGACTCCCAATTCACCCTCTCAAAATGTGGCTTCTCTGTTCAAGTTCAAGTTGCTGTTCTCTGTTCAAGTTCCCTGCAACAGTTAATAATACCTCCCTTGAATGGTTGTTTCGAGGAGATCACCTATATACTTAGAACCACTCTTAACAGGTTCAAGTGGCCACAGTTGTTTGGATACAGAAAAGAGTGAGATAAATAAGATACAGTTCCTACCCTCAAATTGCTCAAAAGAGCCCAGTTGGAAAGTTGAGGAGTGACAGCTGGTGAAGTAATTATAACTACAGAGAAAAGTTCATGGTTCCGTATAAAACAAAGCAGGAAATGGTCTTATCTGCTGCTAGGAGAGACAGGCAGATGGAAGGAAAGCTTCTGGGAAATCACTTTTTTAACGGTGTCCTGAGGAAGGAGTAGGAACTCCCATGTGGTACAGCCACCACATTCCTGCATATGCAAGGTTTTGCTACCACATGGCTTTGGGAACTGGAAGTTGTGTGCTGCTCTTAAGAATGGAAGACACCTCTGACTTCAGATGAGGTAGCTGCCATTGGGACAGGTGGTTTAACATGAAGAGCTCGGACTACGGGGTAGAATGGGCCTGGGCCTGAGTACAGGCGGCAAGGCTATGGAGGACAGAAGGCATATATAGTCCAGGGAAGGACTAGCATAATTAAGCACAGCACAGGTCCTTGATAGCTACTCGCTGTGAGGGCCAGGGCTGGAAACCTGAGCAGAGTAAGGTGAATGGAAAAGGTTTTCAGTGGGAGTCACCAAACAGCGCAACCAGGGACAATCCTTACACACAGACCACGGCACCATCTTAACTCTGTGCCTCAGGACAGGGGCTCAAATACTGACATCCAAGCTGTGAAACAACATGGGGAGACCAAGGGAAAACCATGATAGAAGGGTGATCTTTAAACTGTGTGATGTATCTCTGGACGCATTTATTTGCATGTATGAGTTATGGTGTGCCTAATGGAAGATCCACTATCTTTAATTTACCAGTCCTTACAAGACAAAAAAAACTCTACCCAAATAATTCAAAATAAGCCTCATGTGAAATAAATAGTTGAGCTCAAGCCGAAGAACTTAGGAGAATCCCAAATGCAATCTTGAGGTTTAATAATAAGCAAAATTTTTGTTTGCTTCCATCATTGGATTTTACAGAATCTCTCTTTGCTGGGGAGCAAGTTGAATAAGCCTAATGATAAAGTAATCTATCAAGGATGTGGATATTTATACTTCATGAGTGCCCTTTGGCACTTAATAAGCTGCTTTTGCAATTGTCTAAAATTTCTAATTATTTGTCATATGAACATGGCAACATGTTATTAGCTAAGGTGTGCTTGGTGTTATACTTCCCTCTTGTGGTATAGATGGACAATTACAGACATATTTATTATTCCTCTGGGTGTGTGTGTGTGTGTGTGTGTGTGTGTGTGTGTGTGTGTGTGTGTGTGTGTGTGTGTCCCTGAGCTATTATGCTCACAGCTAGCATTCTACCACTTGAACCACAGCCCCACTTCCAGCTTTTCTAGTGCTTAATTGGAGATGATAGTCTCATGGAGTTTCCTGCCTGTGCTGGCTTTGAACCATAATCCTCAGATCTCAACCTCCTGAGTGGCTAGGATTACAAACATGAGCCACCTGCACCTGGCAACCCTCTTTCAGTTTCTTACCAACATGATTTTTGCATGCTTTAAATAACTTCATAAACTGCTTTAAAGACTTTCTGGAATAATGCAAAGTGTGAATAAATGATAAATTTGACCCTATCTTGGGTTTAAATGGAGGTTAGAAAGTCCATATGCCTAATGTTCAGAGTCCAGCTCTGCCACTTAACAAAGCAATGAGAATCTGAGCTAGAGAAGCACTCTCTCTGCATAGATCTTCATCTGCCAAGTGAACCAAAGCCTACACCATATTGGGTTCTGTGTGGATTGAAGGGAAGCAACATATGGGAAGCACTAGGAACAGCAGGTGTCACCCAACATACTACTGTTGTAGCCTACAAGGTAAACTAGCCCACAGGCAAGGACAGTATAACAGAATTCAGTCTTTTCCCCACCCGAGGTCAGCTCATGACCAAATCACTGTGGTACAATTAGTTGGCAACCCAGTTGAACTGATTAGGCAAACCATAGAACATTACATTGGATATCTTTCCTCAGTACATTCCATTTGGCCTCATTTTACAGCGGAGGAGTTGGAGGTCCAGAGAAGTGACAACTTGATTCTCCTGTTTCTGTTCTAGGATATTAAAACTACTTACTGCTTTGAGACCTTGTACAATCTTTAGAGACAAATACTTCCCTACATCATTCTAGTCCCAATTTCATGAATGCAATCATTTTCAGGAAAAAAAAAATTAAATTAGCCTAGTAAAAGGATGGCAGAAAGCCAGGTGCCAGTGGCTCAGACTTGTAATCTTAGCTACTCAGGAGGCTGAGAACTAAGGATCACAATTCAAAGCCAGCCCAGGCAGGAAAAGTCTGTGAGGCTCTTATCTCCAATAAACCACTCAGAAAACCAGAAGTGGTGCTGTGGCTCAAGTGGTAGAGCGCTAGCATTGAGCTGAAGAGCTGAGGGATAAAGCCCAGGCCCAGAGTCCAAAATTAGGAGTAATAGCATTTATCCACGCTAACTGCACTGGAAGGCAGACTTTGCATTTGAGGCAACTTCTTAGGTCCAATTCAGTGGACTTTGCAGTGTTTGGATCCGTGTCCTGTGGAATCAACTGTGATGAGCCATTACAATCCAGCTCAGGCCTGAAAACCATGAACCAACACAGCTTTCATCAAAGTCATTGCCCTACCCCAAAGTCTAGTCAAGGTGAACTTGTAAAGACCCAACAGCACCATCCAAGTGATAGAAAACAACTCCAAAGCCACCAGAGGTCACTGGGAGATCTACTGAAGGCTTGTTAAACCCAACTGCTGGGTCACCCAAACCTTCCTTCCCACTCCTTCCTCACATGCTTATCCTGAGAACACACCCAGACACCTGCGTGCTCCTCCCAACCTATTCTGCTCCCAGACAACCCAACCTGCAGCAGACACATCTGATCGAGAAATCTCACACTTAACTCCCCTGACCTGTCTGGGTTTAGGAGGAAGAGGGTTTCAATTTAAAAATAAATTCAATCTCCAATATGAAAGTATGTACTTAATACTATTTAAAATGCTTTCTCAGGGGGTGCCGGTAGCTTCTGTGTATGTAGATTTCCAGAACAGGTTGGAATGTGGGTGAACAAGAACAAAATAACTATTGTTAACCACATACTTCATTTGCGCTACTCAAAAAACTACCTACAGAATGTCCTAACAGAGAAAGGTCAGATTTTTATGAAACAGAAGGCAAGCATTTGAATTGCTACAAAGCACAAACAAGCTCAAATGACACATTTATTGTACAGTTTAGTTACAAAAGAACAGAGTATAAACATAGTAAGGATCACAGGAAACAAAAGTCAGAAATATATATTTACATAGCAAATATGGGCAAAACTTAAAATTCTACTTCCATTTTGTAGCACTTAATGGTCAGAATGTACTTCTAAGAATTATGTCAGGAGAAGTTCAAATCTATATGATTAAAATGAATGCCATCTTAATGAAAAATATTACAATTGCATTTTCTTTGACAATCTCCAGGTTACTGGAAGCCAAGTAAACCAGATTGCTGACAATTTTTAAAAGATTCAAAGGCACTTAAATTAGGAAATCACAGTTGGTTTAAAATACTGAGGTATATAGTCTACTATCAATAATATTAGTACACAGAAAAAAAAATCATAGCTGTAACTCTCTTCAGTAGCCAGTTAACTCTGGATCTTCCTTCCGAACTCCAGAAGCACATAATTCGCAGAGTCTTCCTCAGGCCTCACCAACAGAGGATGTGTGCCTTGGAAAGGCAGAGGAGGACATGTGGCACATTCCTCCACCTCTCTTCCCAGGAATCATACCTATTTTTTTTCCCTTAGATCACTGTCCAAACTGAAAGAAAGCAAACATAGAACATACTCAGATGTCAAGGAATATGGCAAGACAAGCAGCAGATAAACCTTTAAGATTTCATTCACTCAACAGCATGTAGTTATCTGAGAGTGGGCCGTGGGCACAGTCAATACTGTACTCCAAACTGAGGACACAGAAGCAAATAGAAAATTAAACTATGTATTAGTCAACTTTGTGGTACTGTAATTAAATACCGAAGGCAGTTTGCTTATATTGAGAAAAGGCTTATTTTGGCTCATGGTTCTGGAAATTCCAGTGCAACCTTAACAGCTTCATGGATATGGGCCTCAGGCCACTCAGATCTTGTCAAGGTCAAGTTACTATATATAAATGGGCACTTGTATTTTTCAAATCCAGTGCTTTATGTTATAAGCTAACTGTGAAAACAAACATGTAAAAGTAACAAGAATGGGAATATTAACAGCCAAAAAGCTTACATGCAAAGGTTCTAGCATAAAGAGCACAGCTTGAGAAAAACTTAAAAGATAATGTTAGATTGTTATAGCTTACCCTTGAAGTTTCTGGACTAGAAAATGGAGAAGCTTCCCAAGATCTATCTCCTGTGTCAAAGGAATCATCTTGTTGAAATGCAAACTTCTGCTTCAGTGCATGTGATATTAGAGATACTGGATCCCACTGGGAACTTCGTCTTTGCTTCTTATGAATGGGCCTACCACCTGGTGACCTGGTTTTTAAAAACATTGACTAATTTAAATTTTTTTAGCTTCTTGTCGACAATCACATTAGGAAAATAAGCATTGTAATTATAACCTAATTAGTCTTCAAGAACTTGGTGTCATAAAATAAGAACTCTGAAGGAAAGTATGAATTGAGAATCAGAAAAACTAAGAATCCATGTGTGTTAAGACTGTACCACAACCTTCTACAGCCTGGCATTCTTTACTATCACTGTCCTGAAAAGCTTAACTTTAATTTTCTAATTTTCCAGTGGGAGGAAAAGTTTAACTATTTAAGAACTTTTTCAATTTTTTTCATGAAAATGTTTTGGCTAACCACTCATGGGTTTGTTCATTCAGTCCTCACTGAATACCTACTATCGCAGGATGCTACTCAAAAGAGCATACAGTTTAAAACTGATGAATTATTTATTTCTGGAATTTCCCATTTAAGAGTTTCAGACCATAATTGACCATGGGTGACTGAAACAATGGAAAGGAAAACAGTAGATAAGGAAAACAGTAGATACTCTACATAGTAAGGTATCAAAAAAAAAAAAAAAAACCAGAATTATAAGGCCATAGAAGAAATAGTCAAAAAGGAGTATTTCAGGGAGGAGCAACCAGAAGTGATAAGGAGTAAGAAATGAGAAAAACATCAACATGATTTCCTTAAAGCACTGTTGACAGCATTTCAGCTCCTGTCCCTGATTATAACTTACCGTTCAACAGCACGAAGCTTCACCTTATCCATGTCCTTTAGAACATCCAACATGTTTGGAACACCAGCATTTCTTTGGTCTGGGGAATGATTATAAATGTTCTTCCTCATACTTGAATGCTGCCTTTTCACTTCAGTTACTGGAATATCTGAGTCACCAACATCGGTAGATCCAGATTGTATGGGGGGGCTCCATGGAGGCTGGAGAGAAGGACAGTGAGGAGGAAGTGGCGGTGGAGGAGGAGGAACCGCTGATTTTGGAAATGGATCTGGATCTGGATCTGCTCTCAGTTGAGCTGATGATGGGGTCCCTCCTACGCCACTGTCTTCATTCAAGTCACAGGAACCTAAAACCAAGGCAGTGTGTTCAAGAACTCATGCAACATTCTCTGTCACACAAAATACATAAGTAACATGAGAATCAGAACAGGAACCCTTTGTAAGAGTTCAGCCAAACTGTGCATTCATTTTTAATCCAATTAGGGATTATCAGCATGTATTTTAAAGAGAAAGCAAAGTGGTTTCACAAGTGTTCCTACAGAATCTGAGCTCCATTCTCCATTTAAAAAGCTAAAACATGATCAACAACTTGTGGTTAGGAACACTAAACTGACACATACACTCTATCAACATAGTGAGAAACTAGCACCTTCTTCTTTAGGCATGAGCCTGAAAGGAATACACAGAGCATTTAACTAGTTTCACCAACACATTTACTCCTAACAAGACAGTGAGTAAGCTGATAATTGTGTATTTATATATCATTATAGTCCTTTTTTGTATCTAAACTATCATAAATTATGACTTATTTCTATAATAAATCATGTTATAAATATGCTATATACATATACTATACAAATGATATGTGTATATATTGTGTATGCATGTGCATACCTTTCAATGCTGTCTTTTTTTTTGGGGGGGGGGGTTGGGGGGTCCGGTCGTGTGGCCTGAACTCTGGGATTGGGCACTATCCCTCAGCTCGTCAGCTCAAGGCTAGCACTCTACCACTTGAGCCACAGTGCCACTTCCGGCTTTTTTCTTTTTGCTCATGTGGTGCTGAGGAATCGAACCCATGGCCTCATGCATGCAAGGCAAGCGCTCTACCACTGAGCCACCTTCCCAGCCCTGCTGTCTTGTTCTTTAAACTCCAATTCTTTTCCTTACTCTCCATTTCTTTTCTAAAGAACTAGAAAGGCTTACTTAGAAGATGTGTTACACCAAAGCCTTCCCCTCACTACACATGTCTCAATGTATTCTAAATAAACTTCAGATATGATGTTATATACCCAACCTCCTGCCACATATTTGATGCTAGCTACAGTTCCTATTCTAAACTACATTAACTTAAATCCCAAAGAAGAATCATGTAGCTGAGACACAAGTCCAGCGTTAATTACCAGAATTTCTACCACTACTCAGTTGCTTCATCGCCACAATTGCAGCAATCTGAGAGCGAAGAAAAGTTAGCTCATCTTCAAGGGCAGCCAGCTTTTCAATCGCAGCTTTGCTTACAGGTACATCATTTTCCATGCGCATGTTCTGCCCAGGTGACAGGTGAAACCGAGCTGGTTGCAAAGGAGGAAAAAATTCAAATTCTTTGTCTTCCTTTTCCCATGTGCTTTTTCTGTGAGTATAAAGAAAGAACAGGAGATTTTCAAGGAAAATTTTCATCAAAAAAAGAAAAAGAAACTCTCATAAAGATCAAAAGACAACAAAGCAGGGACAGGGATTGTAATTCAGTGTTACACTACTTGCATAGAATGTACAAAATTTTGTCTCCAGTACCCCCCCCCCCACACACACACACAAAGCTGGGTGTGGTGGTACACACCAGTATCCTAGCTACTTGAAAGGCATAAGAGGATCACAAATTCAAGGCCAGCCTGGGAGGAGGTAAGGAGACTTTGTCTCAAAATTATATATAATATATATATATATTATATATAATTACACACACACACACACACACACACACACACACACACACACACACACACACACACACACACACACGGCTGGATTCTATAAACCACATTTATAATCCCAACTACACAGAAGGCTCTGAGATCAGGATTGAAGTTCAAGGCCAACCTAGTCAGAACATTAACAAGATTCCACCTCAGAAAATACGCCTGTAATCCTAGCTACTCAGAAGGCTGAAATCTGAGGATCATGGTTTGAAGCCAGCCCAGAAAGGAAAATCTGTGAGACTCTTATCTCCACAAACTGACCAACAAAACCAGAAGCAGAGCTGTGGCTCAAGTAGTAGATAGCAACCAAATCTTAAATTCAAACTGCACCCCCCAAAAAAAAACCAAAAACAAAAGCAGTTTATACCTGTCATCCCAACCACAGTGGAAGCATATTTTGGAGAATCAGAGTCTAAGTCCAGCCCAAGAAAAAAATGTGGTATCCTATCTGAAAAAATAAATTAAGAAGCAAAAGGGAGGGGAGTAGAAAAATCCCAAGTTCAAAGTAAGCCCCTAGGAAGGTAGAAAAATCCCAAGTTCAAAGTAAGCCCAGGCAAAGGTAGCAAGATCCTATCTCAAACTTAAAAAAAAAAAAAAGACTGTGGACACACCTGAAGTAGAACACTTGCAAACAAAAGGCCTTATCTGAATGTACTAATATGTAAGTTAGTACTCTCTAGGAGTAATACATCCTAATTTTGTAATAATCTGTAATATCATGGGAGATTCATTCCAGGATCCCTTGCAGACACCAAAATCTATAGAGGCTCAGGTCCTTGTATAAAATGGTATCATAATCTGTAAGTAAGCTATGAACATCTCCTTCATACTTGAAATTAGTTGTACTTATTAATCGCATACAATGCTGATCTATCACTTCATTCTCATGGATTAATGCAGTAACAGGAGCACAGAAAATTCAAAGTTTTTCTTTGGAGAATTTTCAAGAATTCTTCTTCAAATAGTTTTGATCCAGGGTTGTCTGAATCCACATATATGGAACTCAAATACAGAATCCATATGGAACCCATGTATACAGAGGGTAGAATGCTTTCTTAACACCACTGTCTAGTACACAATAGTGAGTCCCATATAAATTTTGGTTCAGTATATAAAAATAAATCTAGCATTTATTTTATAGAAATAAAAATGTTTTGTTTCTACTATACAAAACAATGAACATCCATCATGATTCTAATACTTTGTAATAATCATACTTTTCTAGATTTGATGTCAGATTGAGTATACTAAAAGAAATTGGTTAGGGTGCCAATAGCTCAGGCCTATAATCCTACTTACAGTTCCTGACCAGGCCATGCAAAAAAAAAAAAAAAAAAAAAAAAAAACAGAAAAAAGGAACTTACTAGGTCATTTTTCATTACAAAAAAGCTGGGCATGATAGCATATGCCTATCATCCTAGCTACCATAGGAAGCATAAATGGGAGAGAATTAAGACCCCAGGATGGCCCAGGCAAAAAGCAAGACCCTATCTCAAACAAAATCAGAGAAAAAGGACTAGAGGTATAGTTCAAACCTAGCAGACACAAAGTCCTGAGTTCAAATCCCTCTCTCTCCCCTCCCCCCCCAAAAAAACCTCTAAAAAATGGAAGATATTAGTAGGATTCAGCAGAGACAGAGAGGGAGAAAAAAGATGATCATTGCAAATTTCAGCACATGCAAGAATTCAGATCATAGCTATATTCCACTTCCCAAGAGAAGCATATGAAATTACCGATATCTGAGGTGACCAGCTTCTTCATCATTTGCCACACACAAAATATCAGCAAAAGATGGAACCACAGATCCACAATTATTAGATTCCACAGAGTTCAAGTGTGGGATCAACTAAAATAAAAAAATGAAAAAAGTCAGAGCTCTGAAAGGCATTAATACATTAACAATCCAAAGGAAATAAAAAAGGGGAAAGGATATACAAAAGAAAAGCATGCAATCTGTGAACAAGAGAAAATATTGCAAGGAATCTTGGGCTGGGAAGTTGGCTCAGTGGTAAAGCGCTTGCCTTGTATGCCTGAGGCCCTGGGTTCAATTCCTCAGCACTACATAAGCAAAAAGAAAAAAAAAAGCTGGAAGTGGCGCTGTGGCTCAAGTGGTAGAGTGCTAGCCTTGAGCTGAAGAGCTGAGGGACAGCGCCCAGGCCCAGAGTTCAGGCCCCACGACCGGACCCCAAAAAAAAAAAAATATTGCAAGGAATCTTATACTATAGCCTCAGTGTGTAGCAATATTGTCTTCCTTGGTTAATAAAATAGTACATATATATGTATCTATAGTATATATAGACATATAGTCCATAAAAATAAGTAAAATAGATCTCAGGTGTTCTTTGCACCTATTCGTGTTTGAATGTAATGGTAAAGAAACAAAAATATTCAGGGTGGGTGCAGGAAACTGGTGGCTGTCTGTACTTCTCGCAACTCAGGAAGCTGAAATCTGAGGATAGCAGTTCAAAGCTAGCCTGGCAGACAAATCTACAACACTCTATCTCCAAATAACCACCAAAAAAAAAAAACAAAAAAAAACCCCACACAGAAGTGGATGTGTGGCTCAAATGATTGAGCAAAAAAGTTAAGAGAGAGTTAGAAGCCCTGAATGAAAGCCCAAAGATGTGCACCAAAAAAAATTTTTTTAATCATGAAATGACTTGTTTCCAGAGACAGACTGTTAGCTTCTTGCTAACAGTATCTAGGATTTGTCCATAGGAGCCCATCAACACCTTACTTACCTCAAAATTAGGTCTTTGACAAGGTTCTAAAGGAAGTATTTTCCCAATAATACGAACAATACTCCGAGCTGATCCATATTTATTTTTATTTTTCCAAGTCAGTAAAACCTATTTAAAAATAAAGCTTAGTTTAAAACATACTAATTACCTTGTTTAAATATCCAAGAAATAAAGGAAATGCACAAGATGTAATAACATTTATTTTCTAAAAAGAAAATATAGTATGGCATGCTTTTAAAATATCTTCAAAGAACGATTACATATATTTTTAAATAATCTGGTTTTAAAAATATTAAAGTGAAGAAAACTCTTTTTAAATAGGAAAAAAGAGAGGAAAGGGGAAGCAAATAACAAGGGAGAGACAGAAGAGGGGAAGAATGCATCAGGATTTGTTCTCTCTTTTCAATACTGTCCTAATACCTTGGAGAAGGATTTTCTTCAGAAAAATTTATCCCCTCTCCCAGCAACTAAAAATCTCACCTTTTGGTCCAAGCAAACTAATAATTGTTGGGAATGGTAATACACATCTATAATGCCAGGATTCAGGAGACTATGGAAGTAGGACTCCAAGCTTTTTCACTCAAAGCTGGCACTCTACCACTTGAACCACACCTCTACTTCTTGCTTTTTGCTGATTAGCTGGAGATTAGAGTCTCACAGACTTTTCTGCCCAGGCTAGCTTTGAACTATTAGATCTCAGCTTCCTGAGTAGCTAGGATTACAGGATTACCTGTAATTACCTGAGAGAGAGGATACTCTCTCTCAAATTCATTCTAGATTTGGTGAGGTTTTAAGTTGCCATCTTATACACGCCCAAACATCAAACTTGCTCATAAGCTACCTGAATTAGAAGTTCTATTTATCGATAACCAATCTAACTCTGTGAAGGTAATGTCATATATTTTACTCCTTTTGTATTTTCTATTGACATTTAACTTAAGAGGGAAATAGGTCCTGAAAAATCTTAGCACCCTTCTTTTCCATTTCAACTATTGCTATTGCAAACTCATCTTTGTTCCACCTAAGTGGGAAAAAAATTTTGCCTAAAAATATTTACATATAGCCCATTTTCAAAACAAGACACAAAAACAAAGACAGTAGATTCATTCTAAACCACTAAAGAACATTTACCTGGTCTATGGGAACACCAAAATATGCCAGAATCTCTCTTAAGATATTCAAGATCAGAGACATTGATGAGAAAATTCAAGGTAACATCATCAATTTCTCGGTACCTTCAGGGAAAATAAAATTAAGCAAATATTACTCTTGACAAGTACACTAAGCTGTATGAAGTCGTCTAGAAGAGATCTTTCATTATACCAATTCTGGCCATCATTATTTTGACGAAAATCAGAAAGTCGGGGAGAAGAGGATTTTAACTAAAATTTCAACTCATCTGCTAAATTACATTAAAACTCTATGGGATGTTTGAGTCTTTCTAAACCGGCTTCGAGCTGGTTTGAGACTGTGGCTGGATCTGTCCTGACAGCTCTCAGCCCTCAGGACCCGACAGCCCTGGGCACTTGGGACAGCTGACAGCACTGGGCACTCGTTGGGACCCCTCACAGCGGGCAAGGCCTGACTCAGAATGAAAACCACCTCTTCACACAAACGTAGTGGATACCACTCATCCCCCGCGCTCATTTTAAAGATAAGAGAAGTGATGGCGGCAGGCGACGCGACTCAACCACCTAACCAGCACCTGGCGACCATCCGAGTCCAGCCGCGCGGCTGGCTCTCGGCGACCCTCCCCACACCCGGCCAGGTGGCCTCGCTCACCTATCCGGAGACTGAGCCTCAGCAGCCTGCGCACGGGACGTGGGGCGTTATGGAAGCTCCTCTGAACCATCCAGAGAGCGTTGATGCGAGTCCAGGGCGCTCAGGTTACAGGACCCAGCAGTGCGAGCACACGTGGAGGCCGGGCAGTGGAGAGTGGCAGGCAGGGAGAGAGGGCCAGGCGGTAGACAGCCCGCACACGGACAGTAGAGCTCCGCCTGGACAGCAACTAAGCAGCGGCTTCCTCCCCACTTCCGCGTCCAGGAACCTTAAAGTCAAACTCCGCGGGCCTGGGCCGCAGCACGATCTCATTGGACCAAGATGAAGACCGCGGCTCCTGATTGGCCCTTGGATGTGACCTTTTTAGAAGGGCTTAAAACCGTGGGTCCTTTCCTTCTTCTTTAAGGGGGCGGGCCTTCCCGCAAGGCAGCCAATAGCAGTGGACAGGAAGTTGACAGGCGGGACAAGTTTCCCGGGAAAGTGACGCATACACGGGACCAAAGCTAGTTTCAACGCCGCTTAGAGCTGTTTTTAGAGAAGCCGTGTGGCACGCGAAACCAGGACCCAAAGGGACGTGCCCTCCCACGTTCGATGACCACCGAGTCGGTCTCGGGGCCTGAAGGCCTGGGCACTGACCTTGGGACCTTTTTTCCCCAGGGGTAGCACTACCACTTGAGCCACAGCACCACTTCCGGCTTTTTTTGTTGACGTGGTATTGAAGAATATACCCCAGCGCCTCACGCTCGCTAGGCAAGCACCCCTCCACGAAGCCACACTCCCAGCCCGTCAAATGACTTTCTGAACGTCTGTTGAATCCCTCCCGGACTAATGTAAGCTAAGCCTTACTCTTACTTTTTAACTTTTGCAATATTTAAATTAATTCGTTCGTGCACTAAAGGCTTCTGATTATCCAGGATACCAACAGGGGGCTGGACATTCCCTTAGCCTAACCAAGGATCCGCAGTGATGACATCCGTTTTTAGTCAATTGGAGCCAACTAGCTTCATGAGGGACAACACAGCTTCCTTTCCTTGGGAAAGCAGGAGTGGCATTGGAGTGGACAAATCTGTGCCTTTATCTCTGACCTACATCTGAGGGAAATTTTGTAATTTTTAACTTCTCTGAAGATTATTCACTCAACTAATGCTGGGTGTCTTACTATGTGTCAGGCACCATTCTAAGCTGAGCAGGTCCCTGCCCTCCTACAGCTTATATTATAGTGAAAGGATCGGTATATAGTACTATACACTGTCAACTGGTGCCTAGTAGGCACCCAATCCACTTGTTGAATAAATGGACAGGAAAAGATTTGGAAGTAAATAAATGCAGAGCAGTGATTGATCACTTTCCCAGGTATTTGAAGGAGGGAAGGGCTAAAGTAGCCAGAGAGCGCTGATTGACAATGTAAAAAGCAACTGGATTCCTACATGGAATTAAGCCAGACAAAAATTTTCCCCAATTCTGTCATCCTTGGTTCTCCTAAGTGAATAAATCACGACTTTATAATCCCAACTTCAAAAAAGCTAATAATCTGTGTAGAGTACCCTTCAAATAGTATTCACAAATAGGGTACATTTGTTTTTTGAGACTTTCTTGTACACTTCTCTTGATACAAGCCCTCTATCTACCCAGGTCAACCTGATTGCACTTTTATCCTTTCCTCACTGTGAAGATCTGGTCCTAGACCTGGTAGGTCAGCTGAGTTTGACGGAGAAAACTGTCCTAGCCATTCCAGCCTATACTGTGGGTACTTCAAATTATCAAAGGTATCAGCCTCACGACTATCAGCTACTGCCCAGTGAATAGCTGGTGGCTGACGGTCGAGAGACAATTCTTTACTCTCACATCTTCAATTGATATTTGGAGAATCGTGGAAATATTTATCATCCAGTTTTATAACAAATGTTATCAATTAGCATTTGGTTTTGCTACCTAGCTGCCAACATTTTCCAGGATCACTAATAATTTTCTTACAGCTACCTTTATGGTTTATTCTGGTTTCCCAATGCCAGATGTGTATTATTCATACTAGTACACTCAAGGCCAGGAAGTTTCTCAATGAATGGAACTAGACCAAACAACAGTTTAAGCAAAAAAAAAAAAAAAGCTAAATGTTTATTTTCCCAACTTCCCAGAAGAGAAGCCCTGTGACCCCGTGCGGATAGTAAAGCAAACTCAAATTACTACACTGTGATAACCTTAATAGGGTAAACTATTCTACCAAAAACCAAGTAATTGCCTCTCCAATCTTCACAAGTGTCATAAAAGGGTAATACAAATTGGGATGAACATGACCAGAAAACTCAAAATTTTAATTCCTATATGTGTATGTGTGTGCCTTTTTCTTTCTGCATTGCCAAAATCCATATATTATGAGCATAAATAAGAATACTTTTGTTCACTATGTAGTAAGGGTTGGCTAAAACCTCATCAGAAAGTTTTGTTTTCCCAGTTGGATCTTCAGACCGTCCAGCTATGTATCAATCCTCCACCCTTTAGTGATAATAAACCCAAATAATTTTCAATATTGTTGTGGTCTAAACAACACAATTTAAAATCCTCCTTCATAAAAACTCAATAGCTCGTTTTGATTGTCTTATAACAAATGAATGGCAAATTGTCACCCACATAAACAAATAAACATGGCATAAAACCTTGAAAATCTTAAAAATACATTTTTCTATCTTGTGTTGAAATGTTTCCTTAAGTAATCACTAAAAACTTCAGTTGTTGGATGAGTATGTAGGCACACACCCTAGCACTCAAGAGGACTGCCATTTTGAGGCCAGCATGGACTGGCTACACAGTAAGTTCTAAACCCAGGTACAGACACATTTTCTTCCTGTCTCAAAAAGGGTTCAGGAAAACCGTTTTAGTTTTTCACTCCCACTTAGGAGTGAAAACAAATGCTTAATATTGATTTACATCATCCAACTTTTTTTTTTTGGGGGGGGGGGGGGAAGGTTCAGCATTAAGTAACAAAGGTATTCCTGACAAGCTAATTTCTGCAGAAAACTTGCTATTGCAGATTAACTGGGGGGGGGGGGGGGGGTTGTTTTTGTCAGTCATAGGGCTTGAACCAAGGGCCTGGGTGCTATCCCTGAGCCTTTGTGCACAGGCTACTGCATCACATTGAGCCACAGAGCCTCTTCCTGTTTTCTGGTGGTTAACCGGAGATAAGAGTTTCACAGACTTTCCTGCCCAAACTGGCTTTGAATTGGATCCTTACATCTGAGCCTCCTGAGTCAACAGGATTACAGGAGTAACCTCCCAGATTAACTGTTTCGTTTTGTTGGTCCTAGGGCTTGAACTCAGCCCGGACACTGCCCCTGAGCTCTTCAGCTCAAAGCTAACACTGTACCACACTTGAGCCACAGCGCCACTTCCAGTTTTCAGATGGTTAATTGGAGATAAAGAGTTTCACAGACTTTCCTGCTTGGCAAATGTTCATGTACCTGTTTTTCAAGCGGCTTCCAGTTTTGCATATTAAAATGAAGGTGATATGGAATGTTTTCCCTGGTTTGCACATGATTTGAATTTGGTTACTTCTACTCTGGAAAACTCCTTTTTAAGTACTAGAAACTTGAAGTACTGGACACATAACCTTGGTTACTTCTACTCTGGAAAACTCCTTTTTAAGTACTAGAAACAAAGTACTGGACACATAACCTATTCCAACTATTCACATGACCCTATTTTAGGCCTCAAACTTCTAGTTTGAATATACCAAACATTAGACAACTTACTACAATCCAACTTTCCTGGTTCACAGAAATCTGTGCTCTTGCTCAGAATATTTTTACTATGGAAATAGGAAATGAGACGTAAGTAAAATTAAGTAACAACCTGGAAACAATGTGCTAAAATTCAATCACACTGACAAGAATTTGTTGGGCTGGGAAGATGGCTCAGTGGGAGAGTGCTTGCTTGCCTTGCATGCCTGAGGCCCTGGGTTCGACTCCTCAGCACCACATAAGCAAAATGAAGAGCTGGAAGTGGCGCTATGGCTCAAGTGGTAGAGTGCTAGCCTTGAGCTGAAGAGCTGAGGGACAGCGCTGAGGCCCAGAGTTCAGGCCCCACGACCGGACCCCTCCCCCCAAAAAAAAAATAAAAAGAATTTGTAATTTTTTGTTAGGGGTAAGGCATAGGACAAGGCAAGAATGCAAACAACAGCTGTTCCAACAACCAGAAGCTATTGAAGCATTTTTAGCTTTTAAAATGATATTGTGCACTTAAAAAAACCTTCCAGAAGTGGAAATATAAAGGATAAAATGGATGAGTCAAAAACAACTATTGAAACTAAAAAATGCTGGAAAAAGGCATCATAATATACTTATTGCTGGTGGGAATGGTAAACTAGTATAGCCATATGTAACTACTATGGAAAAAAAGTACCAATTTCTCAAAAAACTAAACATGGTTACCTTATATCCAGTGAAACTACTTTTGAGCATTTATATGAGACTGCTTATCAAGATACAAAGTAAGTCAAACATCAGTGGCTCACACCTGTAATCCTAGCTATTCAGGAGGCTAAGGTCCAAGGATCTCACAATTTGAAGCCAGCCTTGGCAAGAAAGTCTGAGACTCTTATCTCCAATTAACTTCAAAAAAGGCCAGGAGTGGTTCAAGAGAGCACTAGTTTGAGCACAAAAGATCAGGGGTAGCACCCAGGCCATGAGTTCAAGCTCCAAAACCAGCACCAAAGAAAAAGATACATGGAAAACACCTGCAAATCCATGTTCATCACAGCACATTTTACAATAGCCAAGTGTCCCACAATGGATCAAAAAATGAGTATTATATACACAATAGAATTTTATACAGCCATCTAACAATGAAATGATTTTATTTGGAAGTAAATGGAGCAGAAAAATACACAGCCAGCTAAGCACTAATGGCTCACTAAAGGCCTATAATCCAAGCTACTCAGGAAGCTGAGACTGGAGGATAACAGTTCAAATCAAGCCCAGGTAGAAAAGTCCAGGAGTCTCATCTCCAACCAGCAAAAAGCCAGAACTGGAGGCATGGCTCACATGGTTGAAATCTAGCCTTAAACAAAAAAGCTTAGCAAGGAATACAAGGACTGGCAACAGGAGAAAACAAAACCAAAAACTATTGTATGCCTAACTTTACACGGACTAACCAGAAAGCTGTAGAGGTATAGTACAGTATGTCAGTCAGGAGCTACAGGAGGAGAAATAAGAAACAACTGCTTAATAAAAAC